AATTTTAACCTAACCCAACCCAACCTAACCCAACCCAACCCAAACCTAACCTAACCCAACCTAACCCAACCCAACCCAACCTAACCTCCAACCCAACCTAACCCCAACCCAACCCAACCCAACCCAACCTAACCCAACCCAACCCAACCCAACCCAACCCAACCCAACCCAACCCAACCCAACCCAACCCAACCCAACCCAACCCAACCCAACCCAACCCAACCCAACCCAACCCAACCCAACCCAACCCAACCCAACCCAACCCAACCCAACCCAACCCAACCCAACCTAACCCAACCTAACCCAACCCAACCTAACCTAACCCAACCTAACCTAACCTAACCTAACCTAACCTAACCTAACCTAACCTAACCTAACCTAACCTAACCTAACCTAACCTAACCTAACCCAACCTAACCCAACCCAACCTAACCCAACCCAACCCAACCTAACCTAACCCAACCCAACCCAACCCAACCCAACCCAACCCAACCCAACCTAACCCAACCCTAACCCAACCCAACCCAACCCAACCCAACCCAACCTAACCCAACCCAACCCAACCCAACCCAACCCAACCCAACCCAACCCAACCCAACTCAACCCAACCCAACCCAACCCAACCCAACTCAACCTAACTCAACCTAACCCAACCCAACCCAATCCCAACCCAACCCAACTCAACCTAACCTAACCCAACCTAACTCCAACTTAACCTAACTCCCAATCCTAACCTAACCTAACCTAACCTAACCTAACCTAACCTAACCTAACCTAACCTAACCCAACCCAACCCAACTCCAACCCAACCCCAAACCTAACCCAACCTAACCCAACCCAACCCAACCCAACCCAACCCAACCCCAACCCAACCCAACCCAACCCAACCCAACCCAACCCAACCTAACCCAACCCAACCCAACCCAACCCAACCCAACCCAACCCAACCCAACCCAACCCAACCCAACCCAACCCAACCTAACCCAACCCAACTCAACCCAACCCAACCCAACCCAACCCAACCCAATCCCAACCCAACCTAACCCAACCTAATCCCAACCCAACCCAACCCCCATGAATATAACCTATAATATAACATAATATAACATAACATATAACCTATAACCTCTCTGACTGCCCTGAAGCCTCTGACTGGCCTGAAGCCCCTGACCGCCCCGAAGCCCTCGACTGCCCTGGAAGCCCCCTGACTGCCCTGAAGCCTCGACTGCCCTGAAGCTCCTGACTGCCTCAGCCCCTGACCGTCCCGAAGCCCCCTGACTGCCCAGCCCCTGACTGCCCTGAAGCCTCGACTGCTCCCAGCCCCCTGACTGCCCTGCGGGCCCCCTGACCGCTCCTGAGCTCTGACTGCCCTGAACTCCTGACTGCCCTGAAGCCCTGACTGCCCTGAAGCCCTGACTGCCTGGAAGCCCCCTGACTCGGCCCCTGAAGCCTCTGACTGCCTCTCTGGAGTCTCTGACTGCCCTGAAGCCCCTGACTGCCCTGAAGCCCCCTGACTGCCCTGAAGCCCCCTGACTGCCCTGAAGCCCCTGACTGCCCTGAAGCCCCCTGACTGCCTGGAAGCCTCCCTGACTGCCCTGAAGCCCTGACTGCCCTGAAGCCCCTGACTGCCCTGAAGCCTCCTGACTGCCCTGAAGCCTCGACTGCCCTGAAGCCCCCTGACTGCCCTGGAAGCCCCCCTGACTGCCCTGAAGCCCCCTGACTGCCCTGGAAGCTCCTGACCGCCCTGAAGCCCTGACTGCCCTCTGAAGCCCTGACTGCTCCTGAAGCCTGACTGCCCTGGCCTCTGACCGCCTCCTGAAGCCCCTGACTGCCCTGAAGCCTCCTGACTGCCCTGAAGCCCTGACTGCCCTGAAGCTCCTGACTGCCCTGGAAGCTCCCCTGACCCCCTGAAGCTCCCTGACTGCCCTGAAGCCTCGACTGCCTGGCCCCTGACTGCCTCCTGAAGCTCTGACCGCCCTGAAGCCCCTGACTGCCCTGGAAGCCCTGACTGCCCTGAAGCCCTCTGACTGCCCTGAAGCCCCCTGACTGCCCTGGAAGCCCCCTGACCGCCCTGGAAGCCCCCTGACTGCCCTGAAGCCCCTGACTGCCCTGGGGCCCCCTGACTGCCTCTGAAGCTCCTGACTGCCCTGGAGCCTCCCTGACCGCCCTGGCCCCCCTGACTGCCCTGGCTCCCCTGACTGCCCTGAAGCCCCCCTGACTGCCCTGGAAGCCCCTGACTGCCTCCTGACCGCCCCGAAGCCCTGACTGCCCTGAAGCCCCTGACGGCTCTCCCTGACTGCCCCAGGCCTGACCGCCCTGAAGCCCCCTGACTGCCTGAAGCCCCCTGACTGCCCTGAAGCCCCTGACTGCCCTGAAGCCCTGACTGCCCTGAAGCCCCTGACCGCCCTGAAGCCCCCTGACTGCCCCTGGAAGCCCTGACTGCCTCAGGCCCCCTGACCGCCCTGAAGCCCCTAACTGCCCTGAAACCCCTTTAACTGCCCTGAAACCCCTAACTGCCCTGAAACCCCTAACTGCCCTGAAACCCTAACCGCCCTGAAACCCTTCACCGCCCTGAAACCCTGTCACCGCCTGAAACCCCTAACTGCCCTGAACCCCTAACCGCTCCTGAAACCCCTGTCACTGCCCTGGAAACCCTGTCACTGCCCTGAACCCTGTCACTGCCCCTGAAACCCTGTCACCGCCCCTGAAACCCTGTCACTGCCCTGAAACCCCTGTCACCGCCCTGAACCTCACTGCCCTGAACCCTGTCACCGCCCTGAAACCCTGTCATCTGCCCTTGAACCCTGTCACTGCCCTGAACCCTGTCACTGTCTCTGAAACCCTGTCACTGCCCCTGAACCCTCTGTCACTGCCCTGAAACCCTCACTGCCCTGAAACCTCACCGCCTCTGGAAACCCTCACTGCCCTGAACCCCTCACTGCCCCTGAAACCTCACTGCCCTGGAACCCCTAACTGCCCTGAAACCCCTTAACCGCCCTCTGAAACCCCCAACCGCCCTGAAACCCCCAACCGCCCTGAACCCCCCAACCGCCCCGAAACCCCAACCGCCCTGAACCCCCAACCGCCCTGAAACCCCTAACCGCCCTGAAACCCCAACCGCCCTGAAACCCCCAACCGCCCTGAACCCCCCAACCGCCCTGAAACCCCCAACGTCCCTGAAACCCCCAACCGCCCTGAAACCCTGAACCGCCCTGAAACCCCTAACTGCCCTGAAACCCCAACCGCCCCTGGAAACCCTAACCGCCCTGAAACCCCCAACTGCCCTGAAACCTCTAACCGGCCCTGGACCTCTAACCGCTGGAAACCCTCTTAAACCGCCCTGAACCCCCTAACTGCCCCTGAAACCCCCAACCGCCCCTGAAACCCCAACCGCCCCGGAAACCCCCAACCTGGAACCCCCAACCGCCCCGGAACTCTCTCAACCGCCCTCGAAACCCCTCAACCGCCCTGAAACCCTAACCGCCCTGGAAACTCTCTAACCGCCTCTGAAACCCCTAACCGCCCTGAAACCCCTAACCGCCCTCTGGAACCCCTTAACCGCCCCGAAACCCCTAACTGCCCTGAAACCCCCTAACTGCTTCTGAAACCCCTAACTGCCCTGAAACCCCTAACCGCCCTGAAACCCCTAACTGCCCTGAAACCCCTAACTGCCCTGAAACCCCTAACTGCCCTGAAACCCCCAACTGCCCTGGAACTCTTAACCGCCCTGAACCCTAACCGCCCTGAACCCTCACCGTCCCTGAAACCCCAACCGTCCTGAAACCCCCTAACCGCCCCTGAAACTCTAACCGCCCCGAAACCCCCAACTGCCCTGAACCCCTAACTGCCCTGGAACCCCTAACCGCCCTGAACCCTGTCACCGCCCCAAACCCCTCACCGCCCCTCTGAAACCCTGTCACTGCCCTTGAACCCTGTCACCGCCCCTGGAAACCCCGTCACCGCCCTGGAAACCCCGTCACTGCCCTGAAACCCCGTCACTGCCCTGAAACCCCTCACCGCCCTGGAAACCCCTGTCACCGCCCTGAACCCCACCCCGCCCTGAAACCCCCAACTGCCCTGAAACCCCTAACCGCCCCTGAAACCCCTAACCTGCCCTGAAACCCCCTAACTGCCCTGAAACCCCTAACTGCCCCTGGAACCCCCCAACCGCCCTGAAACCCCTAACCGCCCTGGAAACCCCTAACCGCCCTGAAACCTCACCCCCCTGAACTCACTGCCCTGAAACCCTCACTGCCCCTGAACCCCTCACCGCCCTGAAACCCTCACCGCCCTGAAACCCCACTGCCCTGGAACCCCTAACCGCCCTGAAACCCCTAACCGCCCCTGAACCCCTAACCGCCCCTGAACCCCAACCGCCCCTGAAACTCCCCAACTGCCCCTGAAACCCCTAACCGCCCTGAAACCCCAACTGCCCTGAAACCCTAACCGCCCTGAACCCCTAACCGCCCCTGAACTCTAACCGCCCTGAACCTCTAACCGCCTGAAACCTTAACCGCCCTGAAACCCCAACCGCCCCTGAACCCCCAACCGCCCTGAACCCCTAACCGCCCTCTGGAACCTCACCGCCCCGAAACCCCCTAACCGGCCCTGAAACCCCAACCGCCCTGAATTCTAACCGCCCTGGAAATTTCAACTGCCCTGAAACCCTAACTGCCCTGAAACCCTAACTGCCCCTGGAAACCCTTAACTGCCCTGAAACCCCTTAACTGCCCTGAAACCCCTAACTGCCCTGGAAACCCCTAACCGCCCTGGAAACCCCTAACTGCCCTGAAACCCCTCACCTGCCCTGAAACCCCCAACTGCCCTGAACCCCTAACTGCCCTGAAACCCCTAACTGCCCTGAAACCCCTAACCGCCCCTGAAACCCCCTAACCGCCCCTGAAACCCCCAACTGCCCCTGGAACCCCTAACCGCCCTGAAACCCCCTAACCGCCCCTGAAACCCCTAACTGCCCTGAAACCCCTAACCGCCCCTGAAACCCCTAACTGCCCTGAACCCCTAACCGCCCTGAACCCCTAACCGCCCTGAAACCCCTAACTGCCCTGAAACCCCTAACTGCCCCTGAAACCCCCAACTGCCCCTGGAACCCCCAACCGCCCTTGGAAAACCCCAACTGCCCCGAAACCCCTAACTGCCCCTGAAACCCCTTAACTGCCCCTGAAACCCCTAACTGCCCTGAACCCCTAACTGCCCCGAAACCCTAACCGCCCTGAAACCCTCTAACTGCCCTGGAAACCCCCTTAACTGGCCCTGAAAACCCCAACTGCCCTGACACCCCTAACCGCCCCGGAAACCCCTAACCGCCCTGGAAACCCCCAACTGCCCCTGAAACCCTCACCGTCCTGGAAACCCCAACTGCCCTGGAACCCCTGTCACCGCCCTGAAACCCCCTAACCGCCCTGAAACCCCTGTCGTCCCCTGAAACCCCTGTCACCGCCCTGAAACCCTCGCGAACTGCCTTGAAACCCTGCTCACCGCCCCTGAAACCCTGTCACCGCCCCGAAACCCTGTCACCGCCCTGGAAACCCCTGTCACCGCCCCGAAACCCTCACCGCCCTGAAACCCCTAACTGCCCTGGAAACCCTAACCGCCCTGAACCCCTAACTGCCCTGAAACCCCTAACTGCCCTGAAACCCCCAACCTGCCCTGAAACCCTAACCGCCCTGGAACCCTCTAACCTGCCCTGGAACCCCTAACTGCCCTGAAACCCTAACCGCCCTGAAACCCCTAACCGCCCTGAACCCCTAACCGCCCTGAAACCCCTAACTGCCCGGAAACCCCTAACCACCCCTGAAACCCCTTAACTGCCCTGAAACCCCTAACTGCCCTCTGAACCCCTTAAACCCCCTGCTGGAACCCCTCACCGCCCCGAAACCTCACGCCCTGAACCTCACCGCCCCAAACCCCTCACCGCCCCGAACCCTCACCGCCCTGGAACCCCTAACCGCCCTGAAACCCCTAACCGCCCTGAACCTTAACTGCCCGGAAACTCTAACTGCCCTGAAACCCCTAACCGCCCTGAAACCCCTTAACCGCCCTGGAAACCCCCAACCGCCCCTGAAACCCTCAACTGCCCTGAAACCCCTAACCGCCCTGGAAACCCCCAACCGCCCCGGAAACCCCAACCCCCCCTGAAACCCCAACCGCCCCGAAACCCCCAACCGCCCTGAAACCCCAACCGCCCGGAAACCCCAACCGCCCCTGAAACCCCAACCGCCCTGAAACCCCCTAACCGCCCTGAAACCCCTAACCTGCCCTGAAACCCCAACTGCCCTGAAACCCCTAACCGCCCTCTGAAACCTCAACCGCCCCTGAAACCCCCTAACCGCCCTGAAACCCCTAACCGCCCCTGAAACCCCTAACTGCCCTGAAACCCCTCGAACCGCCCTGAAACCCCTTAACCGCCCTGAAACCTCTAACCGCCCCTGAAACCCCCTAACCGCCCCTGAAACCCCTAACCGCCCTGAACCCCTTAACCGCCCTGAGTCCCAACCGCCCTGAAACCCCTAACCGCCCTGAAACCCCTAACCGCCCTGAACCCCTAACCGCCCCTGGAACCCTAACTGCCCTGAAACCCCTAACTGCCCTGAACCCTAACTGCCCTAAACCCTAACGCCCTGGAACCCCTAACCGCCCTGGAAACCCCTAACCGCCCTGAAACCCCTCAACTGCCCTGGAAACCCTAACCGCCCTGGAACCCCTAACCGCCCTGAAACCCCTAACCGCCTCCGAACCCCCTAACCGCCGAACCCCCAACCGCCCCGGAAACCCTAACCTTGGAAACCCTAACCGCCGAACCCTCCTGCCCCGAAACCCTCTTAGCGAAACCCTAATTGCCCGAACCCTAACCGCCCGAACCCTAACCGCCCGGAACCCCTAACCGCCGAAACCCCTTAACAGCCCCGGAAACCCCCTGCCCCCTAACCGCCCTGGAAACCCCGTAACCGCCCGAAACCCTAACCCCCTGAAACCCCCTAACCGCCCCGAAACCCTAACCGCCGGAAACCCCTAACCGCCCGAGAACCTGAAACCCCTAACCGCCCGGAAACCCTAAGCCCTGGAAACCCTTCTTCTTGAGCCCTAAACCCGAACCCCCCTGTGCCCGAAACCCCCTAACTGCCGAAACCCTAACCGCCCTGAAACCCCCTAACCGCCCGAAACCCCTAACGCCCTGAAACCCTAACCGCCCGAAACCCCTAACCGCCGAAACCCCCCTAACCGCTTGAACCCCTAACCGCCCAGAGCCTAACACCTGACCTAACCTGCTCAACAACCGAACCTTCACCGAACCCCTATTGCGCCCTGAACCCTCAACCAGACCCTTGTGCCACGAGCTAACCTTGAGCCACTCTAGCTTGAAACCCATAACCGCCCGGGAACCCTCTAACCGCCCGAAACCCGCCTACCCCGGAAGCCCCCTTCGCCCGGAGCCCCTAACCGCCCGAAACCCTAACCGCCC